AATATTGGTAAAATAAATGATATTTTGATCCAATATATGCCTTTTTAATTAAAAATTAAAATCGTACAATTTAAATTTCGAAAGTTTTTATATCGTACTTTTTTTAAAAATCAGGAATACGTGTGCTTTTATAATTTAATGGTGGGGGGCAAAACGTTATTCAATGTATATATAATTAACCCGGTTTCTTGGAGAGTACAAAAGATGTCGTCAAATACACCCTATGGCGGTGGAATATTGTATTATTATATATTATATGAAAATATATATACTTTTCTTTATTTTTTTCAAGCTTTATATTTTTATATATATTTTTTTCGAATTAATAAAATTATTATTTCAATACAATATATGCCTAAAGAATTATCCAATGCCATATTTGAAAAAAAAATAAATGAAGAGAATTTAACTAAATGCATTCAAGTAATTTATGATTTTAATAAATCCTTTTATAAAATTTTGTGTTTATTATTATATAATATGTATTTAGAAAATTGAAATCAAAAGTACTAATATAAGTTCGTAGTATATAAAATAATTGTTCATTAAAAAAATACATTCAAAAATTTTATATAAACATGCACACATTATATTTCCCTTTACAATATATAAAAATGAAATAAAAATATATATAAAAAGGGAGAATAAACGAATTTATTTTTATATATACATAATTATCAAAACTATATATAGTAGTGAACCCTCTCAGCGGTTTCGCCAAATTAATCTCTAGACCGCTCTACTATTGTATCTACAAAACCAGTCCAATACAATAGTAGAGCGGTCTAGAGATTAATTTGGCGAAACCGCTGAGAGGGTTCACTACTGATGAGCCAAGCCCTCTCATTCAATAACTCATATCAAAACTATATATAGTTTATAATAATAAATATATATTCACATATAAATATTGGCAATGTGAAATATATACTTATATATATATATATACAACTGACCTTTCTTTTTTTTTTTCACATATATACTTATGAAAATATAAAAAATTGAGCAGACGATTATTTTGGCTTGGAACTTTGGCGGAAAGTGGGGTTCTCGAAGGTTGACACGACTCCTTTATAAAGTGGATTGTTGCCCTGTGCACCCATAATAATTGTTGGAATATTACAGAGTAACAATGGCTATAGATGAGACTGAGTTTGAAAAGGAACTTGTATGTATATAATGTTTTATTGTTTTTGTTGTTTTCATGTAGACATATATACCAAGATTTGTTTTGTATAATTGCTATTAATAATAAATAATATGTAAAGTTAAATTGGTTACGTCCTTCTTACTTACTTTAAATAACATAACAGATATGACTCCTCAAAATTCGATATTAAAGAAGATCTCGTGACCAAACATTTGTGAGGAACATACCTCAATACATCTTTTACTGTATTGTCCTGTTTTTCAAAACTACAGAATCGATGATAATTTAATAGTAGCAGATTCAAGTAATTTCATTTCCAGTAAAGAAATGTATATTAAATTTAATACCTTTTGTATATATATATTTTGAATTATATAGCAACAAATATCTTTTAAGAAACTGATAATTTATATTATTAAGTTGATTGTAGATATTGTGAGACAATTCTGTCGTTGTGTTCACTATGTGCTGTGAATAAGAACAGAAAGGAAGGAGGCCTTCTACGCTATCTACCAGTAGTAAAAGCAAGTTGTCTACAATTTTCTCTACACTATGTGTTGTGAATAAGAACATAAAAAGGCCTTTCCCGCTATCTTACTAATATTAAAAGCAAATTAGTCTATAATTTTCTACATTATGTGTTGTTACTAAAAAGAAAGGAAATCTCAAATTCTATCTGTTATTAGTAAATATAAATGAACAGACAGTGTTCTGCACTTTGTATTGTAAATAATAAATATTGTATATACCTGACTCCACTTGCGATTTTCTTGCTCCTTCTTGAAGCGGGCGTACTCCCGGTGGTCTTGCAACATGGTGATGAGCTTCACTAGCACGGCTATCAATAGGCCTAGGAGTACTGTGCCTCCAGCCACGCTAGCTGTCACTATCATGTAGTTGGTTTTGTAACACTCTGCAACACCACCACGGCACATTAATACATAATCTTTATTTACATAACCTGTCTATAGCGCCCCCTCTTGGGACTCACCAAAATAGGGTACTATAGAGAGGGGATGCTATAGACAAGTCACTTTTAATGTAAATCGCATCGTACTACGTATTTAAAATCGGGCGTTATAAAGAGGGAGGCGCTATTTAGAGGGGGCGCTATAGACAGGTTTAACTGTATATACATGCTTTGCATAATTCCGAGCCATGTAAATGTCTGCAGAACACATATATGTTCATATGATTTAAGGTATTATTGTTGAAAGGTATTTAAATTATGTGTGTATGAAAAAGTGAAAGTTGTATAAGCTTATGGTTTTGCTTTGTTTTAAAAATGAATCGATGTTGGTTCCATATGCTTGAATTGAATATTACACCTTAGTTTTATATATTTTATTGCTAAAAAGGGAACACAACAAAAAAGAAACTATAATTGCAAATGATACAATAATAACAATAATAATGCTGATGATTTGATAACTAACAAAGAAAAAAAACAATAATAATGCTGATGATGATAAAAAAAATTGAATATGTCTGCCAGAAAAATGCTTCTATGAATTAAAAAATAAGAATAAATACAAAATTAACATATAAACTTCAAACATCGTGGTAAAGAGATTTTGAAGATACAAGATCCAGCTTTCCATAGGTTAGAGCTAAGTATGTTGTTTTCTGAACCCATATTGATTTTATGATTTAAGGAATAATTGGTGAAAGGTATGAGGTTTTTTAACACAATGTTTTTTATTTGAATTGCAAGCTTTCAAAGAAAAATTGTTCTTCTACAAGCTTATATCATAAAGATATAGATTTTTGTCTAATTAGGACAATTTCTTGTATGCAAATATGTGTATACTAGACGAATGGCCCGGGCAACGCCCGGGTTTTACCCGAGTGCGCATATACTTTAAAAACGTTTTAATTCAAATACTATTCGTTACAATTATAAATTTGCGCCATGGATGTCACTCTTGTGAAACGTCCCGTTCCAAACTGTGTGTTTTTAAAATGTTTTAATTAAAATACTATTCGTTACAATTATAAATTGGCGCCGTGGATGTCTCTCTTGTGAAACGTCCCGCCCCAAACTGTGTGTGTCTTGAAAATATAAAAATAAAAATGTGAATTTTCATAAAGATTTCATCATGTCGATTTTTTTTTTTGCATTTCACCTACTAAATCGATAGAGATAATTACATTTGCAACATGAACTTAGGTATATTGACTAAATAGAAAACTGCATAGTAATAAAGATCGTTTTTTAAAGGCACCATATCGTTTTTTTTTCAATAAAATCGAAACAAAAATTAACGATAAATAACGATAATTGCCTTAAAAAGAAATTGCCTTAAAAAAAAGAAACATTCGCGGTGATTTTGTCTTGCATTCGTTTATACAATTATTATATACGAATGACCCGGGCAACGCCCGGGTTTTACCCGATTAAATGCTTTTATTCAAATACTATCCGTTACAATTATAAATTGGCGCCGTGGATGTCATTCTTGTATAATATATAAATGAGTTTTAAAAATTGTAAAAAAAAAAAAAAATGCATCGGCCGGGAATCGAACCCGGGCCGCCCGCGTGGCAGGCGAGAATTCTACCACTGAACCACCGATGGTTATGAAAAATCCCATCCGTGAGCTTCAAACAGACAAACAGACAGAATAAGGCAAATATATAAGTAGATTCTTTAGTGGAAAAGTAGTATAAACTGTCAATTTTCGATAGCCACAATCCGGGATTGAATATCACATTGGAGTTTTTTTTCTGAAAAAATTGTTTTAAAAGCCCCTGATTCTTGTAAAAGTCCAAACTCATCAGTATATGCAAGTAACACTTTGAGGACGGACGATTCCAAAGTTGCATAGGAGGCAATAAGAGCTGCTGAGGTCTCACGTGACGTTTTACATTAGGTCAGCTAACATCCCCCCAACCCACTGATAGATAGACAAGAAGTTATGGGACAAGATCCTGGTGGATGCGATTTTATATCTAATTTTGAAAATTGAAGACGCGAATTCGCTTCTTCGGGTTTGATGCAAAATCGGCAAGGACGTGAAATCGCGTCCCTCGGGTCGAAAGTGTTAACCAAACGCGATTTTGGTACATTTGGAAGTGAAAAAGTCAAACTAATTTCTATGTGTATAGATATGTAGTGAACTAGAAGTAAACAAAATCCTGTACTATGGTGTGTACTAGGGGATATAACAAACCAATACCATGTTCTCACCTTTGGTCCTCTCGGCGTACACCAGATGGTCCCCTGATTCCTCCACCTTATAGAGGAAGGAATACTTGCAATTATTTTCGTCAAAGTAACTGCAGAGCTTCAGCTCCTCGTTCCCTGCGTACTCTGAACACACACGAACTTTGTAACATTGCTATAAACATACAGACCACCTCTCACGTCAAAATAGCGCCATCTATTAATCGTCTCTGCAAACTAGCGGACTCGAGTCGATGAAAAAGCCACAACAACAGCTCTGGAAAACTGAGAAACTTCCACCTGGAGATCTTGGCCTCCGTCAGTCCATGACGGGCTTCATTTCATCAGATCCACAAGGGAATCAATTGACATCTTCACATTTCGTCAAAAAGATGTTTAATGGTCCATGGCTTGAATATAAATGGAAATTTTGGTGGGAGGGTTATGGTAACTTTGAAATACATTTTGTTTTTATATGGTTAAAATAATTGTCAAAGATGAGGAAATTCTTAGATCACCTTATTCTAACCACTTAGGTATTACCAGATCAACAGCCAGTTTTTTCCACAGTAATATCCGGATGTTTATATATAGGTCGGGAACTGATGGAGGAGTGGCATAACCCGGCGATTTTTGACAGATACGACACTGGTTCGAATCCCGTATTGAACACTTTTTTTTGAAGTGTTCGTGTTGTAGAGGTTATCACGTGTGCTTTACACGCAGATGGTCCTCGGTTCGAACCCTGGCGGGAACATTTTTTTTAATAGAGTCGGTGGACGAGTGGGTTACACCCTTGATTCCCAACAGTCATGAACAGGGATTGAATCCCGCGTTAACATTTTGTTTATATGTGAATAACCTTCACTTATTATTCATTGTTGCAATTGTCATAAACTAGGTTGCTCTTTTTGAGCGGTACCTAATAAAGTGATTTTGAAACAAGGAATATAAAGGCCGATAGTGATAGATGTATAACATATATATATACATACATATTTACATACCTCTACCTACATTTAAGTGTTGAGTAAGATAAAGAACAATGTTAACTCACCGTCTAGCCTTTCCACCGGCTTAATGCGATAGGTACAGTTGGAGCTACATTCTGGCTTCCCTTCCTTGGGAGGGAATACCTCGCACAGCACGCAGGGCTGGATCAGGTCGCACTGGCCGGCACATCCCTGGTACACATCTCTAATAGAATACACACATGTGGTAGCACACATCTTTAGATGAGCATCTATTGCAAACAAAGTACCAGGCATTACTCAGCAACATACCGTCAACACCATTAAAAGCAAGCCCACAAAATCACCGCCTAATATTCAGAAAAAGAAAATAATAAAACATCCTTTTCTTCCTATCGTACAACTGGATATTTCTGATGGTCTAACGGAATAAATATCAACTGATGGATATTTTTTAAATCCATGAATAATGGACAAACACCCTATCTTGGTAAATGGATGCAAAAAAAAAAAGTCGAGCTATTTTTTACAGTAAAAGATAATCGTCAACTATCTATAATGATTATTATGGTTTGAAGTTGGGATTAGTATAAAAAACTCTTCTTCTTTTTTTTTAATTCCTGAGTATAGAATGTTAGATGTATCTGATTTGGGGAGATGGATCTTATAGTGCGACAGTCTCATTAAGGAAGAGATCCAAAAAGAAAAAAAAAGTTTGGAGAGGACTTACAAAACAAACTTCACAGGTCTCGCCGCTGTAGCCAGGTGTACATATGCACTTGTTACATTCACAGTCTCCGTTCCCTCCGCACAGTATCTGTAACACCATTACACCCGTTAGTACAATTCTATTCACCCTGTAAACTCTCCATTTAGAGATTGTAGTTTTATACAAGGACCCGGATTTATAACCTATGTGTGTTGATCAACTATTTTGTTCATATAATTGTCCTTGTCAGTTTGACAGCTAAACACCTATTTAGCAAATTCTAAAGATTTCATAAATGCCTCGTGAAATTCATGTAATCAAAGCTCGTCTTAAACTGACGAAGTCCATTAGCCCGTGTTATTTTGTAGTTTATTTAACACATAAATATACTACAAATTAAGATAATATCTTATTTTATTATCTTTACCAAGATTGCAAACATATTAATTAGAGAATTATTTACAACACACTAAAAGGTAAACATTAGGGCTATACACATTCCTTTCTTCTGTACTGCCAGGGTTGCTGAAACACATTTATTTTAACAGCCCGAAACTATGATCTCTAGGTGGGCTTTCTGATTTTGATAAAGTTTGTGTTGTGGCTTTGTCACCGACACGATTTCGCTAGTTTGCAATGACGGTCAATAGATGGCGCTTCGTCTTAACATCTAGGTCAAATATTACATCAAAATAACCATCTATTTATCGACCAGGTCAAGCCCCACCAATGAGTTCAAATAACCAAACTGGGCTTGGCACCTTGTAAGTCTTTGGGGGACGGTGGTCTAAACCGTTGGTTTTGGACCGCTACGACCCGGGATTGAATCCCGCATTGGTCACTTTTTTCTAATAAAAAATAAAAATTCTCCAATGGCCCTCGATTCTTGCAAAAGTCCAACCCCCACCAGCAAGTGCAAGTAACCAAACGGATTCTGGCAAATTTGTAAGTGCAAAATTCGAACTGATTTTGACATGTGTAGATATGTGGTGCACTTACAGTAAAAGCAGTCGCCAATTTCTACCCACCATGATTATCATGGCCTGTACCACGTGTACTTGGGATAATAAAAAAGTTGAATACCACACAGAAACACTAGGGAAGTAGCCCGTCGCAATTACAACGGAAGAGTTAATATTTTGTCCCAAAAAATGTCGGTGTAATCGAACTATGAGCAGGAAAAGGGATGTAAAGCTGTTAGGGACGTTGTTTAAAACCCTGAAGGAAACCTTGACTGAAATACGTAATATCAGGAACAATAAGTTTTGTAAGCTATGGGTCACAGCTGACATAGGGAAGGAACCTTTCTGGTTCAAAATCACATTATTAGGTACCGCTCAACAAGAGCAACCTAGTTCATGATAATTGAAACAGTGAATAATATGTGAAGGTTATTCACATATTAAACAAAATGTTAACGCGGGATTCAATCCCGGTTCATGACTGTCGGGAATCGAGCGTGTTACCCTCTCATCCACCGACTTATGTATATGGTAGGAACCTTATGGCATTAATTTTAATCAACAGAGATTATCAATTTGGATATTTTGCTACTCAGAGCATATATTCCTATCATTTTATCTCTTTGATTTGTTGCTAATAGGTTTTGTATTGTTAGGATTTTCCGTATATAGTTGGCGACTTCTGTGCGTGGCTCCAGGAGTTAGATAGTAGGGTTCGGATCAAAATAAATTGCTTTGTCATTCTCACATGTTTATCTCCTCTCATTCTACGTGACACTATAAACACTATATTGCAAAATGGATAACAAGCCAAGATTCCAGAGTAAAGTTGGGGAAAGACGGGTGGACTTCAGCTGCCATGTGTGAGGGGAACAGGCGCCAAAACGGCATTCCAGTGTGAGCGAGGACAGAGTCTGGTTACATCTGTGGCGAGTGGAAGACGAGGCGAGTTGCCTTCGGGCGTGTGGATGATCCTGTAAGACGATGTCAGAGAAGCTTGCCCGACCTGGACTGGAGTCTGCCGTTGACAGGGAGAATCCTTCTTCTTCTTTCTCATCTCCACTCTCTCTCAATCATATTAGGGTATCAAGTTTGTAAAGCTTGAGATGACAACCATCATGACTGGGTGAAGTAGAATGCGTCTGCCTTTGTCATTAAGACTGGGAGCACTACTCAGTGGCAGGCCGACTTAACTCCAAAAGAAATGGCCGCCTCTGACATGAGGAACAGACGCCATGTGCAGCCGCTCCTAACGTGGAGTACAATTATGGATTAAAAAGGATCCTTCTGATGTTGGACATTGGAGACAAGTCCATCTAGGTGTACCTAGTTCTCAATTCCATTAACAGGATAATAAAGTATATCTCACTAAGCTGTATACACGTTGTTTCCTAGAAACATTGTACGCAAACATTGATGGCTGAAAAGCGTCGTAACAATATCATGTCTACAAGTTGGAGCTACTTGGACATAAAGATCTACTTGAAATAACTCGACTTCGGTTTTAGTTTCTTCCATCTCTTTAACACAAGAGAACCACCTGAATATCGCGGTGATCTCTTTGAAAAGAATAATTGGAATGTCCCCAAAACGTTGTGAATAGAATAAGCAAATATTGATTCTCGTTCGTTACATATAGACTCATGAACAAAGCATGAAAGGAAGTTGTACCTTTTAGCATGTATATCGGGATTCAGATAATAACTCTGTAAGATATTTGATACAAAGTGACCTTTAGTGAAGACACACGAGATAACTAAGTGTGAAAACCTCTGTCTCCTTTAAAAAAACACAGACGCCCGTTTAGACATCAAAGACTTTCCACTTCCGTAAGTTTTGTCCATGAGTATACAGAAAGAACCATAGGTTCGTGTAAGTAATTAAGAGCAATAGAAATTAAAGAGTTAAAAGGTAGAGTAGATTTATATTTAAGGATTCACTCTGTTGCTAAAATAAATAATAAAAAAACTTTTTGGAACCTTAATATAAGATTTTATTCTACCTTTTTCCTTTAAAAGTTTTACATTTAAGTCCATGAGTTTATGTAGATGTGGTTCAAATACAGTATAGATAGTCGCACATTTCTTTCTTTCTACCATTTCTTGGCATCTACCTAGTAGTTACTCCAGGTTACTGGATAGACTTGGCATCTACCTAGTAGTTACTCCAGGTTACTGGATAGACTTGGCATCTACCTAGTAGTTACTCCAGGTTACTGGATAGACTTGGCATCTACCTAGTAGTTACTCCAGGTTACTGGATAGACTTGGCATCTACCTAGTAGTTACCCCAGGTTACTGGATAGACTTGGCATCTACCTAGTGTATCTAGTTACTCCAGGTTACTAGATAAACTTGGCATCTACCTAGTGTATCTAGTTACTCCAGGTTACTGGATAGACTTGGCATCTACCTAGTAGTTACCCCAGGTTACTGGATAGACTTGGCATCTACCTAGTAGTTACCCCAGGTTACTGGATAGACTTGGCATCTACCTAGTAGTTACCCCAGGTTACTGGATAGACTTGGCATCTACCTAGTGTATCTAGTTACTCCAGGTTACTGGATAGACTTGGCATCTACCTAGTGTATCTAGTTACTCCAGGTTACTGGATAGACTTGGCATCTACCTAGTGTATCTAGTTACCCCAGGTTACTGGATAGACTTGGCATCTACCTAGTAGTTACCCCAGGTTACTGGATAGACTTGGCATCTACCTAGTGTATCTAGTTACCCCAGGTTACTGGATAGACTTGGCATCTACCTAGTGTATCTAGTTACCCCAGGTTACTGGATAGACTTGGCATCTACCTAGTGTATCTAGTTACCCCAGGTTACTGGATAGACTTGGCATCTACCTAGTGTATCTAGTTACCCCAGGTTACTGGATAGACTTGGCATCTACCTAGTAGTTACCCCAGGTTACTGGATAGACTTGGCATCTACCTAGTGTATCTAGTTACCCCAGGTTACTGGATAGACTTGGCATCTACCTAGTGTATCTAGTTACTCCAGGTTACTGGATAGACTTGGCATCTACCTAGTGTATCTAGTTACTCCAGGTTACTGGATAGACTTGGCATCTACCTAGTGTATCTAGTTACTCCAGGTTACT